GGGCAGAAGCCATTGCCCAAGATGCATCCAAAGGAGGACACCTGCTGAAGGAGGCCTGACTCTCCAACATGGATTCAATCAATCGATGCATAGAATTGCCCCCAGCATACCAGACATTAAAAATACATGAGGAGCAAGTCAGGATGCGAATGGCATTTACCAGAGGCAGAACCAGAACAGGGGAAGGCAGTCATCACATGGCTAGGCAAAGAAAGGATTTGGAGGAAATAGGGATGGCAGGGATGGATGGTGAAATATTGGAATCACGGATGGATGGATGGATGGGGTGAAAAGGAGGGAGGACACGAGCATAGTGAAGAGTTGCAGTGGGGAGGTGACAATGAGGGGGCATTAGGAATGCTGGACCTGGCCGTATGACCCAAAACACGTAGGACAGGGATACCAAACAAGACAGGGTTAGCCAGGAAGGGGGAGGAGGGGGAAAGGGATAAAAAATGGGGGGAGGTTGGACTTAAAGAGGAGCCAGCGGACAGTTCAACTGACTGTAGGCAGACAGGGCAGAGAGATGGGACACGATCATGCACACGCACAGCTAGGTGTGAAAGGAAATTGGGGGAGATAAGGCTAATGAGGACGAGAGGGGCTGAGCCTAAGAGCAAGCTGATAGGCATCCCCACTGGTTGTGGGCAGATGAAGCAGAGGATGAGACATGATGGACCATGCGCACACCCGGGGGTGGAGGGAAACTGAAAAAAAGACTGACAGGAATGGATGACGAAAGGCAGGAACAGCGTGCAGACCAATGGGCTAGAAAGGAAGGGAGCCCTGATGGCAAACCTTTTGGAACACTAGGTCTGAATGCGCAGCCTGGAATGAGCAGGAGGGAGCGGTTAGAGAGCACATCGGCAACAACGTTGCTGGGAGGGAGGAGATTGACAAGGATGAGAGAGAGGAAAAGTGTGGAATTGGAGTGCAAAAAAAGAGAAGGTGGGCAACCAAGGCAATTACAGTTAATCAGGAAGGATGGCCCTATCACACAGGCAATGAGTAAGCAGTTAGACCAGCAAGGTGTATAAAAAGAATCTCCCCACCCCCTGAGTCTCACTCTGAGGATGCTGGCAGGGGACCAGCAAAAGCTAAGTTGTTTCTTTTAACATTGTAAATAGTTGTTTTTATTGTTTTTAAATATCTTTTTAGCAATAAACAACTGGTTTATACCTCTCCCGGAGATCGAAGTTTGGATTATTGAACAAATATGCCTGGGATTTGCATTTTTGCAGCTATCAAGGATACACATATATATGCATATACATACATACATACATACATGCATGCATGCATGCATGCATGCATACATATATATATATACACACACATACATATACATATATATATACATCTATTTATACATATATACACACACACACACACACACACACATATAAAGAATCGGTATATTGGATCATTAGAATAAAAACCTCTGACATAGCCACAGAAATGATAAGTTTGTTAGCAACTTCATAGTTTTCAGGGGGACTTCAGAAATTCTTTGATGAGGCAGATTCCAGTAATCTTTCAGCAACAGAAATGTGAAATTGCTGGCAGTGAAGTAAGATTTCTTTGAAGAGGTTGTATGAAACAAATGCTGAGTCTGCACCACGGCTTGGCACAGGAACAAACTGAGGACCTCAGGATAGCAAGTATTAGATGATTCATATAAAAATAGACTGAAGGTTGGCATTTCAATATTGGATTTTTAAGTATTTCTTCAAATAATGATAGGCAAAGCAAAATTACTTTAAAGAAGCGACTCTTAATCTTTTCACAAGAATATTAGATTTCTTTTTTAGAAAGCCAGAGTAAATTGACAGAAAGCCAGGATTTATAGAAATACATGAGAAATGAGAAGAACATCAATGAACCACTTCAATTAGCAATAATGTCTTGGATAAACCTCACTGGCTATGATACTGCCACTGCAGTTTTCTAGCAGAAATAAATTCAGTGTATTGGTATTCCAAATTAATACCAATAGATTTCAACATACAACAATAAAGCAGCACCTATTATAGTTAGGATTAATACTTCAACAACCCCTCACAGGTTTGTTTGTTTGTTTGTTTTTAACAACTATTAGTTCATTCATTTACCTTACCTTACTTACTTTCTTGACTCCTGCAGCAGACAACAAATCTCTTCTATTCTACACAGCACAACAGTGTAAGCTAGCCCCATCCTATGCAGGTTTAAAGCTGAGTGTTTGCCTTCATGTGCATCTGCTCCTTCACACTCCCATTCACATCACATTACCATTTATACATATAAACACATCACTTTTACACAATACATGTTGTGTTTCATGTTGTGTGCATTCTTGTTTTCAGTTACAAAATTTTAATCTCACATTTTTTTGCCCACTTTAATCTGATTTTCATTATTTACGTTAAAGATTTCTGCTCCACAAACCCTACTAGCTAACTTATCTCAGATATTCCTTTTGCTGACCTTCAATGTGTTCCTTCAATTTTCAATATCTACTGGATAAGCAACCTGTTCCTTCAAGTATATTGTTACTCTCTTTCTCTCTCAGCGTTTTAGAGATCAATTCCATTTGAAGTACAAGTCAGCTGATAAGATTTCTTGGCAATATTTTTCTGCCCATCTATTTCCTTCCAGAAATGATTTCTGACATGTTTTGCCAGCATTCTGTGTCTTTTCTCCTCAAGCCATTTTCCTTTAAGATTGTTCTACACCAGATTAAAAATCTGTCAAAAATTACTGGCTCTGGTCCATAGTGCTGTGAATGCAATGAGAAAATGAATTAATGTTGTGAATGCCTGTCTCAGTAGGAGGTTGGACTAGACCAGACATGTCAAATTCGTGACGTCACGTGACATCGCACAATGTATTGGGACTGTTTTGCCATTGCCGGCAATGGGGTGGGCGTAGCTTCCGCGTGACACATCTGGCCCACGGGCCGGCAGTTTGATACCCCTGGACTAGACCTATGAAGTTCATTCTTTGAAATGGCAGTGGCTTAATAGACTGGCTGTTGCATTACAACTGCAGGTGTGGACAGATTGAAGCCTAGAGGGCTGACTTCAGGTTTTTCTGAGTGCAATAATATGGTATACCTTAATGAAGTAGGCACAGTGGAATGGATCTCAGAAACCAAACTGGATTTCCAATTTTTTCACACAGAAAATATAATCTCAGTTTCCAATTTCAAGCTTTCTTCATTTCATTAGTGTAAAAGGGAAGAAAGTTGTTGTTTTAAATTGTTAAATGATGTAAATCATAAACCATTAGTGATTGATTGCAATTCTACACAGCCTGCATTGAAATGGGAGAAACTTAGGGATGGAGCCAGCAACCATATGTGGTGGAGAGAGGGAAAGATAGTTTGATTGGATGTCCTGAACTTCATTCATGGAAAGGCACCTCTAAATTTGGCTCTTTTGAATGAAGAAGATGGCATAAAGGATGTAGCAAATGAAATTGTATGTGTCCTGAAGTATCTTAAAATGTAGTAGGGCAAACAGAAGTGGTCTGAACTTTGCATCTCCTTTCTTTTCTCCTGCTGGGTTAACAGAGAATTTCTCCTAATGCAAAGATAGCATTGGATACAAGCCCACAACATGCCAGAAGCAACAACTACCTCTGTTCTTAAAAGTATATTAACAATTGGGTTTTCTCATGTTATCAAGAAATAGAGCTCTCCTGTACACATTTGTATCTAGAATGTCCTTTTCCTAACCAGGGGTGTCAAACATGCAACTGTCGCAACTTTTTTGCCATTGCCGGCAATGGGGTAGGCGCGGTTTCGCTATGATGCATCCAGTCTGTGGGCCGGCAGTTTGATACCCCTGTCCTAACCCAATTATTGTAGCCCAGATTTGCTGATTATTTCTTCTTCTGTAATATAAGAATGTGGTCAAAGGTAGGGAATGTGTGGTGCTTCAGATCCAAAGCCAACAACTTAATTTTGTCTTTGGATCTGGGGTGCAACACAATCCCAAGTTAAAGCAAAGTATTAAAATTAAAAAATGTGCTTGAAGTCCTAAATAATGAGAGGAGGAAATATGTAACTAAGAGAGATAGTTTGACACTCTAAATTTAGAATTTTATTGCCTGGAGTTTTAGAAAATATATTAACATGGGTGGGAGTAGGGAATGCTCTGCTAATTCCCTGGGAAGGCTTTTTTTCTCTGAATAGCTGTCACTCATCATCTGCTTTGGAATCTCTTTCTCAGGGCAAAATTGCACATTCAACTTTAGATCCAAGTCTGAAAACACACTGCTAAACAACTGTGAGTAGCAAGGGAAGGTTAGAGCATGTAATCTTCCATTCCTTTCCCATTTTTAATTTTGCATTGTTTACGTGATGGAATTTTCTGTTTTAGATTTTGGTCCTTAATTTTATACACAAGAACTTGATATTTTTAATCATTTACCTTTGATTAAAAATGAATATATTTTAACATCACATGCAACTGAGAAACAATTTTCAGAAAAAAATGCTAATCCTACAACATCACTATTTGAATATTAACATGTCCAAACTGTTTTAGTAATTTTTTTAAAAAAAAATAGAACCTCTAAAGATTAAGAACAAAAGTTAATGTGATTTTTATTGTTCAAAACAGCTAATATATTCAAAATATTATTTAAAATAAGCAATTACAAATATACCAATGCAACAACAAAAAATTATATACCACATCTGAACTTCTTATCTAAGTATAGGAACAATGAAGTTATTTAAGACTGATAGAAAATAAATACTGAAATTATAATTTGTATTTCTAAGTTTGTTTTATAGCACCAAACCATTTAAAACTGGAATTTATGCCGAGAAACCAATTCATGAAGTTAGAGCCAGCTCTTTCACCATTCATGAAATCTCAAGATATTTTTCAATCTGTACTTTAGCTAATTATTTTCTAGGTTGTTATGAGTTTCTGAAAATAATACAGTGATACCACCCCCCCCCCAAAAAAAATTAAAGGCAGAAGCCAAGCCCAAAGCATAGTGCTTACCTTTTAACTTCTCCTGTGGGCAATATGTGACAAAACACTGTACAGCAGCGTCACTTTGCTTAGGAGTGCTTGTGAAATTAATATTCCCTTCAACCTCTGCTTTTGGAAATAATATATCAGGTTCTTTGCATTCCTAGAACAAAATAAAATCATATTTATTGTGGTAATATAACACTTGGATGTTTTACAACAACCCTCCAGAAGTTGTTGACCTAAGATACCGTAAATGCCGGCGTATAAGACGACTTCCGCGAGCGCTGAAATCGGCGCCAAAGACGGGGGTCGTCTTATACGCCGAATCGTCTTATATGCCGGAAATACTGGTAGTTTCCAGCATATAAGATGACGTTCTAGGAATGCGGCCCGGCTATAAAGACGGGGGTCGTCTTATACGCCGGGTCACCTTGTACGCCGGCATTTACGGTATTCTTATCACTCTCCATGCTAGCTGGAGCTTCTGGTCAGCTACAAATCCCAAGTATCCTATGTAAAACAATGTATCTGGTAGTTGAGTGATTCACCAAGGTATATAACATAATAAATCTGGCAGTCTTTAAGTCTTATGCAACACTTTATTAATTTCTTTGAAACCACCCAATCTATGTATTGTTTCCAAAACGTTTGTTGTATGTTGTGAACACTCAGACCTTAATTAGACAGACCTATGTTTCAAACAGTCTTCTTCCTCAAAGAAAAAAAACACAGTCCAGTTGCCTTTGAGATGTTTAAAATAGTTATTAATAATATTAAAAGGAAATTACAACTTGTAGCCACATATTCCAAGGGAAAAGGGTGGGTGCAAGTGTCCACCCATGAATTGCTTGTCTTTAGGCTTGTACAAACTCCCAATGATTGCAGCAGGGTTCATACCATTGGGGCAGACCTGGTTGGCAAGCATTACTAACACTCCTGCCTTAGTTTCAGCCTTAAGTTCTCCACTAAATTTGGAAGTTCTGAGTGAAGCATGAAGACAAAGTACCTTTCGTTATCATCATGCCCTTGGAGCTGGATTCCGCAGCTACACTAGCTGCTTTGGGTACTCACTTGTTTCTCCTGGCTAATTCCTCTTGTGAACTCTGCACCTTGTTGGAGTGTGCAAACTGCAAGAAGCAGTAAGATGTTGAAGCAAAGCTTAAGGCAAAATTGGCAGCACCTGTCAGTATTCAAGACAGCCATTTCTACGTAACTGAGTGTCATTGTGACTTGTAAAGTGGCACCCAAGAGATGACCACTAATTTCTTCCCCAAATATCCCTCATTTTTTTCAAGTCTCCAAATGAGACCTGGGCAAGGAGTTTGGGCTTTGCCTTCTGACTATTTGTTTTTTTTTCTGAGAATTATTGGTATTCTTGGTGAATAGATTTGTGTATTCATTTAGTCTGCCATCATTCGTTTCAGTGCGCTCTAACACTTAACTGACTATCAGTTGCCTCTAATGGCAACATCTGATTGGCAAGTTAATATCACTCGTAGCTATTATGATAACTAATTTTTAAAAAAGGAAATAAAGGGAATAAAGGAACAGCATCCAGGAGAAACAATGGCACAAAACATTCAAAGAGTTCTTTTGAGGGGGGTTATTTTTATTGGGGGAGGGCTAAAAAAAGACAACTATTGAATATTTAGCAAAGTCCCTTATTATATCATGAGAGGCAAAATACATGTAATGCATCTTCTGACCACAACTGGCTTCCCATTATTACTCCATCTGTGAAGGCAGCTTGTAGTCTTGTCAAGACAAGAAAAACTGTGCCAAGGGTAATTTTTTGACAGCCAGCTGGTTTCCTTCTCTCAGTGGCTGCCACATATGTGCTATAATGAATGCACACCAGAATGGTTTTGGAAACAAATGGCATACCCCTAAATCATATGCCAGTGTGTCTGGCTTTATAAAATTTTTATTTTTCACATCAATAGCCATTCCAAATTTCTTCTGACATTTCTGTTGTAAAAATAAACAACTTACTAAATGGAATTAAAATATTAATTCAAAATACAGATTAACTGTTCTTAATTTTCATAGATTAGCTATAAAAATTCTATTTCCACAACAATTAAAAGCACATTTCCTTCTTTTAAAACTATTTACAAACCATTGACACATTGGGTTTTGTTTTGCAGAATTGAAATCACAGGATATCTAGCATTCTAGCATTTCTAGATAGTGTTTCTAGCATTCAGGATGCAATACCATGTTTCCCCCAAAATAAGACTGGTCTTATATTAATTTTTGCTCCAAAAGATGCATTAAGGCTTATTTTCTGGTTAGGGCTTATATTCAGGAAAATATGGTACTAAATGTGTCTGTCTGGCTGATGATCTTAACTGGGGCTTATTTTGGGGGCAGGGCTTATATTACGAGCATCCTGAAAAATCATGCTAGGGCTTATTTTCCAGTTGGGCCTTATTTTGTGGAAAACAATGATAGTTGGCTAAAACTATCATTAAAATTAGGCTAGACTCCAGGGGCCCCTGAAATTAATTAGGTAATTACTATAGTCATCTCCTAACTTAGGTTCAATCTTCTTCAGGTAGTGGAACCAACTGTGTGCCTCAGAATGTAAAGTTCACATCTTCACCTCTCTTTTGGGCTCTCTACTCTCAGGGAAAATAAGGACCCCGTGGGGGAAAAGTCAAAAAACAATGTTTGGTCTGAACTGGATTTTTTTTGGGGGGGCTATCCCAATAGTGCATTTTGAAAGGGAAAATGTTTTGTACAAAGCATAAAAACAAATCAAGATAAGACTCCAGGTTCACATTTAAAATAAGGCCTATAAACCATTCACTGTTTAGAATCAGTTAATCTAAAAAGCAATAATGTTAGAAAATATTCTAGATGCCACATTTTGTGCATGAATGTGCCTCACTCTAAGGAATGGAAAAAAGAAGAAAATCCCATTTTTCTTTTACATCTTTCTAAATTGGTAGGGTTTTTTTATTTTTTTCTTATGAAGACTCATTTTCCTTCTCTCAGTATAAGCTGAGAAGGCCAGTGTCACAAGGGTCCCATGGGTTCATGGGAATTGATCTAATGGACAGCACATAATATCTTCTTGTGATTTTTTTTCTTTTTATTACCACGATAATGCAAATTAGTACTTTCATTTGTGGGCATGTAAAGCAATGTTGACAGTATTTCATTTCCACAGCTTTACAACAGCTAAACAAATCAGTTTCTTTCCCCCTTCTTTCCTATTTCCCTCAGGCCATTCTGATAAGTGATGGTAATAGAGAAGTAGCAATAAAAGAACAAAACAAAAGCTTGAATTATGTGTGTCTGTCCAAGCATTTCAAAGTTAAACATCTCTCTACAGGTTATACATGCAGCCATCAGTGGTAGCAAATGTGTGCCTTGCTGTATCTAGATTCCCTTCCTATCAGAATTAAACAGGTTAAGTTATGCTGGTCAGCAGTTTCTCTTAGGCTGGTATGATGTAGTCCTCTTCTCTTTTTCAGGAAGAAATGTACCAGCATACAGCTTTGGGGGTCTTGCGTCCCTTCAGATCATTCAGTGGTGTTCTGAAAGGGCAACATTGCCTATACCACTTCACGATGACTAGCTAATCCCCTACTTTAACCATATTTATATATTAAAGCAAAAAAAAAAATGATCAGGACTTTGGAGATCAGAAACTGGTATAAGATCATCAATGCCATATCCAGGACACTGTAGTAACATCCCAGAAGATCAGCAAAGTACCTACAGGGCTCTGTACTCTCTCTGCTCCTATTCAATATTTACATGAAGAAGTTGGGTGAGATCATTCGTCATCATGGACTGAGATATCACCAATATGCTGATGATATCTCAGCCAGTGGTGAATTAAATGATGCTGTGACCTCCTCCTTGCCATGCCTGGAGGCTGTTAGGGGCTGGATGGGGGAGTAATGGATTGAAACTGAACCCTGTCAAGACCAAGTGGCTCTGGGTTTGGAATTCTTTGGTCCCTGGAGAATTGCCACCTTTGGTCTTGGATGGGTGGCACTGCCCCCAAAAGACCCATTGTGTAACCTGGGGGGTCTCCTGGACTCGTGACTCCTCCTCGAAGAGCAAGTGGCAGTCGTGGTGAAGAGGGCCTTTGCACAACTGCAAGTTGTGCACCAGTTACGCCCTTTCGTGGACCAACAATCTCTACTGACAGTCACTCATGCCCTAGTCATTTCCTGTCTTGACTATTGCAATGTTCTCTACATGGGGCTGCCCTTGAAAAGCATCCAGAAGCTCCAGTTGGTGCAAAATGCAGTAGCCCACATGGTTTTGTGAAGACCTCGGTGTGCACGTGTTGCCTCTACTGTGGGAGTTGCATTGGTTGCTGATTTGCTTCTGGGTGTAATTCAAGGTGCTGGTTGTCACTTTTAAAGCCCTTCATGGCTTGGGACCAGATTATCTGAAGAACCTCTCTTGCCAGTCACATCCACTAGAGTGGTGAGGCAAGAAATGTTGCGGGTCCCATCCCGTAAGGAGATATATGTGGTGGGACCCAGACGGCCTTCTCTCCCTCCCTCTGGAACATCATCCCTCCAGAAATTAGATTGGCCCCTGCTCTGACACTCTTTCGGAAGGCCCTGAAGATGTGGTTCTGCCAGTGGGCCTGGAGAACCCAGAACCGGATGGAGCCCATTAAATGGCTGATATGAGTGTGTGTTGTTGCCAGAGTGGGGTAGAGGTTATTATTTTATTATTTTTATTTTTTTTATTTGTGTTTTTATTTCCTGTAAGCCGCCTTGAGTCGCCATGAGTGAGTAGGCAGCAATATAAATTTTCCAAATAAATAAATAAAAAGTTTTAGTGGTGTGGACTATTTTTTTCCCTTCCACATCCAAGAAATACTCATGGAGAAAAAATTATTTAGTTGACTGAAGCAACTAGTATTTATGTAATGCAGATTTCTCTATATGTGGATTTAGAAAAAATTACAGTACCAAGAGGACCAAATAGCTGGCTACCAAGAGCAGAGTTTTCATAAATATATTCTTGGTAAAAAATTACTCTCTAGGTTCCCAAGATATTGATTAGATACGTCACCAGACCATCCCCAGATGCTGTCTGCTAGACTGTGGTCTAAAATATTCTTGGCAGAGGTTCTACTGTCTACACTGATCATAAATGTAGACAATAGAACCTCTGCCAAGA